TTTTTATGATGCCAACGCAGCCGGAAGAAGCTTCCAATTGAAGCGCCCCTCTAGTGGGGGCCAGCTGAGTAGTTGCTGCCGCTGCTTTTGCTTGGAATTCTAGAAATTTAAACAGCTGTATAAAGTTAGTTAACCTGCTGCTGATTAAGAAGCGCCCAACTTCTTGGCATTTACGGCATCGAGGGCTCGGCCCGTATAATTTTAATAGCCTTCAATGGGCGACACGCGCTGCTCCGGCTTCGGCTCGTGCTTTCAGCTTCAGCTTGGTTCTTTATGAGCGTTTGCTCCTTAACCAAAAACTGCAGCTTAAATATTTTTCGCAAAAACTAAAGCAGAGCCGGGCGAATTTCCACGCGCTAAAAGTAGCTGCCAAGTAACAAGCTTAACCGCAAAACTTTGAAATAAACTTTTGTTGCTCATAAGCTGGTTGTTGTTCTTTTTATTGTTGTTGTTGTTGTTTTTGCTGTTGCTGGCAAAATAATTCAGCGTGCGCCCGCGCAAGCGGCATAACTATAACTTCCGATTCCGCTGCCAGCCAAACGGTAAAGGGGTGGGGGAGGCGTTGACTGGTTGGAGTTACTGTTGCGGGTGCGCCATGTAATACAGTTAAATATAAATTCAAAAAATATATGTAGAGTTTGTGCAACTTTTTGCTCTGCGCTGCACTTGCTCCGCTTCTTATATCTTCCATATTTTTTTTCTTTTATTTGTTACTTGTGCAATTTGCATGAGCGGCAAACACCCACGAACAACTAACAAGTCGTCCTGCTTGGTGGCAGCAACAACAACAACAATGGGAGTGGCAAGCAAACTTCCGGCTGATGAATAAGTGTCTGCGTGGCCGTGTGGCTGTGGGGTGTTCCCGTGGGGCGTGACTATTGCCATAGCTGGTTGTTTGTTGTGTGTGCGTGTTTAGTTTGTAAAAAAACGAAGAAAATAATAATAAAAACAACTTCCTAATTGCGAAAATAAAAATCAACAACTGCCGCAACACTCGCGCAACTGCAACAGCAGCAGCCACATCAGCAACAATAACAATTAAGCTCGAACAATGGGCCACTATCGAGGCATAAGTAGCTACTCATAAGACTGAAAACTCGAAACAAAGATATGGCAACGCCAGTTGTGTGTGTGTGTGTGTGTCTCAAGCTACCAGTTTAACGGAACTAAATGCTGGGCATAAAATTAGTAGCCCACATTATGCTCAAATTTGGCACTGTTAATTCAACGACGATCATGTTATGGAGCCAGTGCTGGCAGACATTTAGTTTTCTGTTAGATGCAAAGCTGTTGCTTAACATGCAGCCTCATAGAAATTTGACTAAAATTATTATTTTAAATTATATAGATAAGAATTTGCGGTAATATGCGAATGCATTGACCATTGTAGCACTGGGGGGTATGACATTGGCATAGCATCGCAGTCTGGCATAAATTTAACGCAGAACAACTCGGACTTCCGCTCTGACCGAGCGCCATGTTGTTATGCAGAATGTGCGGACGTTGCCGGGCCGCAATGTTGTCTATGTCTGGAATTGCGAGTGTGTGCGTGTGCGTGCCAGTGTGTGTGTGTGCACAAATACGATTTAACAAAAAGTAAGTGGGCCCAGGGCTTACAGCATTGCCGGCAAGCGAACAAACAAACCAAATGAAGTTATACAAACTCTGATAGCGGCAACAGCAGCAGCAACAGCAACAACAATTACAACACCAACAGCAGCAAGTCCTGAGGCCTGAAAAAATGTCGGCTCATATTAATTTCTGCTATCTCAGTGACGTTTCACATGCGTATTGTTCTTGTAGATTTACATTGTTGTTTTTGCTGTTTCTGTTGTTGTTGCTGCAGTGCGTTCGCGGGCGCGACTCTAGCAATAAATTTGATTTGTTTAGCAATTTGTTGCATATCGCATTGCGCATACGCCCCGTGCATTCATCTAGACGAAGTCACGTCTGTTGTCGTCGTTGCTGTTGCATTTACCATCTTCCTACCCCTCGCCATCACTTGTGCAGTTGCTTTAACGATGAATAACGTGTTTTGCATTGTTGTTCTTTTCGCTGGCAGCTGCCAACTTTATGCGACATTTTATGTACTACAACTGACAATAATTTATATTGAAATATGTCACTACACTCACTGTCTGTCTATGTGTGTGTGTTTTAGTTGCGCATACATTACGGCTACCCAACATTTAAGCATGTTCTGCAGTCTATATATTTGTGTAAATTGTACTTCTATCCAGAAAATCAACTTAAGTAATCCGTTAACATTTGTTTACACATGAATAATTGCGAGCTCTAAATGGAATAACATACATAAATCATAATATATTTTTTTTTTATTTTTATTTTATTAATTTTATTACTTTTGTTACATAAATGCATTTCTAATACTTATGTCTAAATGATGCATAACTCCTGGCAATTGGCAGCGCTTTTAACAAATTGTTCCACTGCGACCAACATGCACTTGTCTGCGGCCGCTTGGTGCCGCTCAGCTCAATGTCTTGTTGTGTGCATTTTAATAATTAATAATAATTTAGCATGCACTTAATTTTAATTATTACTCAATTAGGTCAGAACCGTAACAATTTAAGCACCGAGCAGTGCCAGCGTTGCTCATAATGAAAAGCGTGTGTAATTAAACAATTTTCGCTGGCCACAGGCGGGACGACAAGACGCTCCACTCGGTTATGTCGCCTGGCTTTGTAGCCTGTCATTGTCCTTGCCGTTGCTCGCTGCTCGGTTCCCGCCAGCCGCGTCATTAGGGATGCTTTGTGTGCAAATTTGATTTCATAACATTTTGTCAGTGTTTCGCCTCGATTTGGCGCCTTTACGATGCACATAAATTTTACGACAAAGTTGAACTTATAAATAGTTTACGAACTGGCGCACAGCTCTACCACAGCAGCCAAGATGAAGTGACGATGACGTTGACAAAGTTGATGAGCGGATGGCCATGGGGAAAAGTCCAAGTGCAAAAGGCCAGGAAAACATTTCTATTAAATTTATTGAACGTGGCCAGCGAAAGTGTATTTGTTTATTCATTTGCAAGTTTTTCATACGTTTGAATAAAGTTGTGAAGTACATTAACTCGAATTTTAAAGAGAAATTATGAGCATAGGATGTGTAGAAAAAGGTAAACTGCTTGACTATGGCAGATGGCTTTAACTGGTTGTGAATTGTAAGCAAAATTAATCTGTACTTCTTATTCTTACTTTGGCGTGTTATTACATGCTCCTTACTTCATATCATATCTTCATAATATACATACATATATTTCTCTTCTGACTATGAGAAGCGACTTAAACTGGTTGGGAACTGCAAATACACAGTATTGCTTTGTTATATTAAATTGCTTTGAGCCTTGCTTGGTTGGGATTGATTTTCCCATAGCATCTCCAAATCGCATTTTGTTTTAATCTTTTCGAGGCGTAATCTGTACTTAACTTTAATTGCATATAACACTCCTTACTAAAGTATCTTCAATTTATTTAACGTTCACAGTTTGCATTTTGACCTGAGCGTATACAATTTGAATGCCATTAGGCATAAGGCGGGCAAGGAAAAAAAATCGAAATTCACATATCAAATATACAAAATATGTATAATAGTGAGTATATATGCAGCACAGCTATAATGTGCATTCCAAATGTAAACTCGTGAAAAGGCTGAAATGAAAAAACATTTTACCAGAGAGTAAAATCGGAAGGGACGAAGAAAAAAAATAAAACTTCATATCTGATTGAATAATAATGTGTGCTTAAGGATTTAATGTGCAGCTGGCAGCAGCTGCTGTTACGCTTTCAGGTCTCAGGCCCAGATCAGAGCAGACCAATTTTTTTTTTTTACTTTTTGTCTTCTGACTTCCTTGTGTCGTTCTTTTTTTCTGCAGTAAATAGCACTTGGGATACGCAAAAAAAATATGCAAAATTACAAAAACAACAAACATCGATGGGCTCAGCCTGTGCGCCCAATGGGGAATTTGCTGTTTGCCTGATGCTGATTGCCAAAAAAGTAAAGAAGGGCACGTTGAAAAGAGCTAGAGAACTACTTGTAAATAAACACACACAACGAGCACACACGGAAACACATATATATATACAATACAATACTTTGACAGGACACATTTACAAGCAAGAAGAGCAGCAGAAAAAAAATTGAATTTTCTTATCGCACGTTTTCAAATTAACCCAAAACAGCGCCAAGAGCAGACCCACAGGGCTGCGTGTCAAGCTTATTTAAATGTACCTCCCACCCCATTCAGCTCCTCAAAACCACTTCCATTCACCCATCGGTGTCCCCATTGCGTTTTGCTAGCCATCATTATTAGCAGCACATTTAGAAAGACACCCTCATGTGAGATCTTTTGGCATTTAGTCGAACCCAACAAATAAAAAGGACTGAAACAAGGGTATACGGCGTAGTCGGGTGCCACTGACTGCGAAATACCCTCTTCGGCATGCATCATATAAAAAACTTTACCTAAAATTTGGCTTAAAAGTTATTTTGTACAATTTTTTGTCCCAATTGCCAGCCATATAAATGTCATATTGCATGTTTGAAGCGGCACTTAGTGAAGTTCGTAGCTTCTGAGTTTGATACTAAACTCTTGCTATATTATGGCCGATTATACTTATATCATATCTACTGTCTACTAAATATAGACAGAGAGGAAATTATGCTAAGTAGCATCACAATAGATCTAAAATTAAGAACATTTCGCCTAGAGAAATGCACGCTGTCAGATGGACAAGGTTAGAACGAATCCATTGGTGATCAAGAATCTGCTCAAACCAGCTCCCTTTCAAAATTAAAGTCTTGCTCTTTGAGATATGAAGGATTTGCCATGCCTGAAAATTTTATAGTGATCTGGCTATAAGCCGCCGAGGTAATCGGGAGTGTATTTCCTATACATAGTGCGGGGCGAAAAGCTTGCTTCATGCGCAAATCTTTAAAACTCGACTACCTCCGTAAGTGTAATATCTGACTTCAAATATATTTAACTTTTTATCGTACTTATCGTTCTCTACAACCAAATAACAAATACGTTTTGTATATAGTATATAGGGTGGTACGCCCTGTAATCTGAACTGGATTTGAATTTAAACGTGCGGATAAACTCGATTGGGATGCAGATTAGTCGCATCGGCTGGGGAATCTATTTTCTACCAGAATGTTTCCAGCTGGCTTATATCTTGTTTGGTATAGTTTCCCTGGTCGCTTGGCCCAACAATTGGGGCGATTTCCAAATTAGTTGCACAAAATGCATGGCTTCTTCGGAATATCTGCCGCTTCTTTGCTCTTAAAGTAATATTTCCAACACAATTTCAAGATTAACTATTCACCTCGCATATCTGCAAATAAGTTTTGCATTCGCGGGCACAAATTCTTTGTTTTCGAGCAATTTGATTTGCCAACATTTATCTAGGCCTATGAAAGCCAAAGTAAAAATACCCAAGAAAATATTATACAACATTTAAACCAGTCTGCCTTGCAGTCTGGACTGAAATTGCTGAGGGTAAATTTCGATTAAAATGAATATCTAGTCTGGCCTAGAGAAAATACTAACTTTTTCGGCCTCGGGACATTCTCCTTAAACTGACCTGCCACATTGCCAGGAGGCTTATATCTGGCGACAACGAAGTTCTTTCGATTACCACTGGAATTGATTGTTTGTTATGCGCTTGAACATTTCCTGCTTAATGTTTTATATACATACCTACTCTGGCCAACACCCATAGTTGTGCTTGACTTCCAAATTAATTGAGTAAAATGTCCAGTTATCAATGAGAATCCGGGACTTTCATATTTGTAATCCTTAATTTCATCGTACCACATTTTCACACATGTCAGTGGATTTTTTGTCGTATAACAGAGATTTTCACCATAGTCACCATTTGAGTGATCTAGGCTATCTTTTTCGACAAGCAGCTTTAGTTTTTAGTTCAGAATTCAATATGTCCCACTTACAATAATTGCAATTACTTACTTCAGCATACTTTTTACACTCCTCGCTTAATGTGGTGTCTAGTAGGAGACTGGGACAGCCGTGTTCAGCCCGATATTTATTATGCTGGAGTAGAAAGTCATTTTCAAAATCCGATTTAACTGATTTATACTAAAAAGCATATAGAAAATATAAGTTCCAATAGTCTGTAGCTTGGACATACCAACAATAAAAGCACTGTCATCCACAGCGCCAAAACAATGCCAGTGCTCATGAAGTTTTATACATAGAGAATTTAAAACTTGTATTTAATTTTAATTCTTTATTTTTTTTTTATGAAAAAAAATATGCTTACAACATTTCAAGTGTTACTTTGATGAGTTCTACTAACACAAAAAGTTAACGTAATATTTAATTTAACATAAATGAGAAAGAAGGGGTTCTTAGTTACGCCGAATACCTAATACCCTTGCAGTCCCGACCTTTTTATAATGCTCACAGTGCTTTGCTCGATCTAACAAGCACAGGGAAAATAGTTAGTGCTGAGTTTGGTCTTGATAAACACAAAGGGGTTTTAATCAAAAACCTAGTTTTCGACCGATCGTTCCTATGGCAGATATATGATATAGAAGTCCGATCTTGATAGGATTTTGCATATATATGAGGAGCATAGTAAAACTAATAAATGCCGAGTTTGGTCAAGATATATTGATAATCGTTCCGACCGATCGTTCCTATGCCAACTATCCAATATTGTGGTTTGATCTAGCTGGTTCTGACAAATGTACTGCATGCAACAGAAAGAAGTACTTCTGCAAAGTTTTATAAAGATTGCCTTAAAACTGAGAGACTAGTTCGCATAGTAACAGACAGACGAACATGGCTGTATCGACTCGACTGTTGATACTGATGAAGGATATATATACCTTAAGGGGTCGGAGATGCTTCCTTCTGCCTGTTACATTCCGATAATCGATAACTTACTTCGTTTCCAAGCAATCGATAAAATCGATATCGATATTCTGTGTTTTGGGCAATTTTGGTAAATAATAAGAGCTAGAGTCACCAAACTTAACATATATAGCTTCTAAAATAGAATATATATATGCATTTGATGTTGGAAGAAGAGGGTTCATGGTATTCCCTAGTCGTGAGCTCCCGACTAGAACCTCTTACTTGATTTAATTTAATAACAAATTGCTGCATTTTATATGTTCTCGAATAGCTTTGAAAATGATTTCGAAACTGAGCAGACAGTAAACAAACTACTCTCATACAAACGTTTTCCGTCATTTTACCACTGTTTCGAGTGGGATTTCCCAAATCGCTGAAACACGTATTCATTATATTCTTTTATAGAGCTTTGAAAATAAGTTTGATGCAAATCGGACACAGCTTAAAATTCTCAAAAAATTACTTTAAAATGCACTTTCCACCGAAGGAGCTTAGATTTTGCAAAAAATGTGAAACACCATGCAAATGAATTTGAAGGCAAAAGGCCACCCACCAAATCTTTGACTCCCAAAGAAGGAATGGATTTTTCGAAAAGTGTGAAAGACCTCTCTAATGAATTTTAGCAATGATCTTTGAAAATAAGTTTGAGGCCGATCCGATGGTTAAAAAAAAAGTTTCATACCAACGTTTTTCGCTAATTAACCTGACATTAACTGAAACACGTATTCATTAAGTTCTTATGTAGACCTTTAAAAATAAGTTTGAAGCAAGTCGGACACCACTTAAAACTTCGCCCAAAAAATCTTTGAATCGCATTTCTACCGAAGGAGCTTAGATTTTGCGAAAAATGTGAAACACGTCTCAAATGATTTTTCATATAGAGCTATGCAAATGAAATTGAGCGCGAAACGTCACCCACCAAATCTTTGACTAGTAGGACTTTATTTTGGAAAGGTGTGAAACACCCCTCAAATTAGCTAAGAACTTTGAAATTGAGTTTAAGGCCGATCGGATGGTAAACAAAAAAGTTTCATGCAAGCGTTTTTCGCGAATTTTCCATACTTGTGGGTGGAATTTCCCGAAACCCCGTCTTAACGTGCACCTTTATCACATAAGGAAACTACAGTGAAAATTTCAGCTTCCTAGCTCTTACGGTTTGGGCTGTGCGTTGATCACCTATCAGTCAGTCAGGACAAACAGATTTATGTATTGAGATTGTTGCTGTATCTATGAGCTGTGTGTTGCTAAAAAGGCATTAAGTCGGTTGAGATTTAAGAAACATTTAGTTAATAAAAAAATTAAAAATTTTATAGATTTTGTAGACCTTGACCAATCCTAAAAAATCTATATTGATTTTATGATCTTTAAACTTAACTAAACTTAGCTCAACTTAAATTTTGTTGCAGTCTAATATGCAGTTTATTTTACATTAAAAAATCCTTGCCGCAAAATGAAGAGGACCTTATTCTGGAAATTTATTTAAAAACTTATTTTAGTTAAAATTTTTTTTTTTGTTCGTCTGAAGGGTAAGTACTGCCCAATGTGCTATGCTATGCCGATGCAGGGTGGATGCAGGGTATGTTCTTTATATCGCTTTTGTTATATTTTATAACATATAGCAGTTTTTCATATTTCTTTTGTAATATAACAAGAGGGCTATTACCAGGTGTGCTCTCTTTTGAGACGACCAGGCCAATTATTCTTGACTTATACCTTAAAATAAAAGTTTAAATGCAAGAGCTGGCAATATTATAGATACCGGCAAAACATATTTGTAAGAGATGGGCTTATACAGAGAGCTGGAACTGCTGGACTTTCTGCAATTGATGTTGATTTATCTTATCGTTACTTTTTTAACACAATTCCTTGATCACACATACTTGATTTCCTTAGGGACATTTTCCTTAAACCTGCCATCAATATTGCCTCGAGGATACATTTTTACGACTACGAAGAAGACCCCAGATTCACTAAAATTGAGCGCTTACTATGCGTTTCGTATTTGAGTTCAGCTGTTATACATACTGTAAGCACTTTCCAAGACCAAACTCTTTAGAACTTTTCCAAATAATCAGAGTAAAATTTTCGGCCTTTTTAATATATTTAGCTTGTTTATAGTCATAGAAGTTTTCTTGGTAGTGCCAATCATCTACACATGTCAATGGATCGCGTGAACTGCATATGAGTTCAGAGGTCATATTATCGTAAGACGTTTCTGTAATAACGTTTTGGCAAAGAATCTAAAAATATATGATTTATCTAATTATCAGAAAAACAGGATTAATTACTTTAGCATGCGCATCAGCTGATGCGCACAGCTGTTCATTTAGATGGAGCTTGGGACAGCCGTGAAGTTTCCGGAACGAATTTATTGAAGCCAAAAAAACATCTTTCAGTTCATGTGAGGAACGAATACACTATAAAATATAACAGACCCATAGAACGGCATTCAGAGTCTAAAAATTTCAAATCGAACATTACCATACCGATGCATACAGCAATACCGACCAAACCGCCAGCATCTTTCGAAACTTCATCTTGCGACTAAGACAATTTAAAAGGATTTCCTCGTATTTTTAAAAATATTTTTTGACAACAAAAGCTGATTAAAAAGTATATTACCCATAGATCCAATAGTTCAAGTGATTACTTTGATGTCGTCTTTTAGCACATTTTCTCTGGAAAGTTCAAATATCTAAATTAACCACGGTCGGCTATTTTAATTTTAATTTTGAACAGATGAAAGAATCATCTTCGATCCCATAAAGTATATTCTTCACTAACCGAGGAGCTAAGATGATCCAGCCTGTAGTCAGGTTCATGTTATATATAAAAAATTCTCAAGCTTAAAAGAAGCTCACTTTTGCAGTTACATCCTTGCGCTTTGGGGTATCCCGGCTTTTCTATATCATATTTATGGCCTGAAAATTTCATAAAGATCAGACTATAAGCAACCAAGTTAATCAAGAGTGCATTTCCTAGGCTAACGTTATGTTCGAAGAGGTCTAAGCTAACTGCCGACGGCACATGAATTAACAATCCGTCAATTTTCATCAGTCTTATATCTAGTGACTTTTTATTCTTTTGGTGTATTAGTTTATTTAATTCGTACAGGTGCCTTCACTGCATAACTTTCCTATAAAGTCTTTTTTTGGTTGATGCACACATTTTTCCCATATACTTTTGAATCCGTGCGATCTAAGGAATCTTATGTTACCAGTTCCTAAATTTTGTTTGACAGCTTTAAACGAATGTCCAACAAAGTGGGAAATTAATCAACATACTTTGGCATATATGTTATATTCAACGCATAGATCGCGGTCCACCTTGAGGTTGGGGTAGCAATGCCTTTGTTTTAACATATGATATATTAGGATTTCAATTTCCAAATCAGCTTTGGTTGGAAAACACTGTAAAAAAAATCAGAACTTAAATCAGAACCAGAAATTAAATTCAACTTACCAATAACAACACAGTCGCTGTCCACAGCCAAAAGCGTCTTTCACTTTTCATTGTGGTGTAAAGTTGTTAATACAAATTTAGAAATTAGAAAATAAATCATATAATCATCAGTTTTAAGTAAATTCAAGTGTTACTTTGGTGTCTGTTCTCTGGACAATTTACTAAATTCAGAAATTGCAGTGGCTATTTTGAGGTTATCATTAAATGTGTAAGGGATATCGGCAACAACAAATATATTCTTGCTTAAAGTCCTGCTAAAAAACCTTCTGTTTATTTTATAAGCTATGAAAACAATTTTTTTAGTAAATATTTTTGGCTTGGCAGCTTAATGTGTAATATAAATCAATCCCAGCACCAAATTATGGCAATACTCTATAATGTAAGTTATCATCGGGTATATCACGCAGCCCAACCCAACTACCCATGGGGAAGGCAAACAACATTGTTGTTCGTCTACCGTTGACGCTTTACGCTTTATGCATTTTGGCGTTAAGGTCCTTAAATGCTCATCGCGATGCCAGTCGCCGTGTGACGTTTGACTGGCTGACGGATTATCCAAAACGCTAACCACTGGGGCGTGGCAAAGGGGGCTGCAGCTGACAGCCGGTTGTTAGCTGTGGCTCTTCAATTATTTGAAAGTTAGACGCAGTCAGAACAGAGGATAATGCGCTGCGTTCCCATAGTCAACGGCAGCAGGATAACTCTATTAGTGTCATACTTACACGCACACACACATACATACGCATACGCACATGCTGCCAGATATTAAATTTTTTGCTTAGCCAGTGTTGGGGAGTTGCGCCAATAAAAGATGGCGAACAGCAAAGCTCGCTCTAGTGTCCTGTATCTAGTGTGCTGGGATTGACAGCTTCAATGTGCAGAGACTGTCTGTGTGCGTGTGCGTGCGGTGGAGTGTGTGCACGAGGGTGTCGAACGATGGATGAGTTGTTGCCGCAACGCATGTGGCTGATGCTTTGGGCCATCATTGTTGACAACAATATCAGCGACAGCAATTGCAACAACAACAACAACAACAACAACAACAGAAGTTGGCTAAAACGCGATTGTCAGTTGCCTGCATTGGCAACTGCTGCAAGTTACTTTGTCCTCCACGGGGCTGGGTTGTAAAATGTCAATTTGTGTCCGTGACGAGGATTTATCGTGTGCAGCGCCTCGAATTTGATAGGCCTGCTTAAATCTCGCATTCACCCCATTTATATTTAGCTCTATATAGAAATCCGGCCGACTGACTGACTCGACTGGCAGACTGATTGGCTGACATTTATACTATATTCATCTTATGTGCATTATGTGCAAAGATTTAGCTTTTTGCTAAATGCATCACTCTTGCCGATGATGGCCAATGTGAACTATCTTCCAAAATAAAGCAGAAATTTTTGTCATAATCGTTAGGAGTTGCATCTACACTAGAAGCAAATGACTATTTTCGTATAGACCAGTTTTTCTGCTAATTTTATTTGTAATGTTATAACAAATCCACATTTTTTAAGAAGCATAGCAGAAAAGTATTATTCGAATTTGAACTGTTGCAACACCAATGCTGGAAATAACCATGAATATAGGGATATATATTTAGAAGTTTTCAGTATGTGTTCAGGACTGCAAATAAATCTAATTAAAATTATAATGCACTTAATTGCCTGAAAAAAAGAGTTCACCTGTTTGACCTTGGCACATTCTCCTTGAACATTCCCTCTACATTGCCGGCGGGCTTGTATCTAGCGACAACGTAATTTTTTCCAGTTGCGCTGCAATTTTATTTTTGGTAGAAATTTGTTATGTTAATTTTGTGTGCTCGTTTGCAATGTGAAAATATGTGTGAAAAATCAAGATTACAATCAATTTTCCTGTACTGCAAACGAGCATTCCACAGTCGGTTTTACCCGTCTGCATTTTTTGTTTCTTCCTACCTCTTGGCTTGGCCAACGCCCAACTCTTTGCTAGCCTTCCAAATAACTTGTGTGAAATGCCCGGTTGCGGGCGAATACTTGGGTTTGTCAAAGTCGTAATCTTTGATCTCGTCGTACCACATTTTGACACACGTTGTTGGGTCGCTTGTTGTGTAGCATAGATTTTCACCATATGCTCCAGTTGAATGAATCATGGAATCTTTTCCGGCAATTTCCTAAATGGTATTCAACAATATTATATAAAATGACCATCAAAATGGTAAATTACTCAACATACTTCGGCATATGTCTTGCACTCTGCGGAAAGCCCGGAATCCAGAGTGAGACTTGGACAACCATGCTTTTCCCTGTACTCATTATGAAGTTTGAGGATATCATTTTCGAAATCAGCTTTTGTTGGAGTACACTTCAAAAAAGAAACTCGTACATACCTATGAAAACTCGAAAATTAGTTAAGCTTACCAATAACAACAGAGCCGCTATGCACAGCCCGAGAATATTTCCAGTCCTCATTATGGTAAATAACTTCAGACGTTAAATTGGGATGAAATTCGATATTGTTTCACGTTAAAAATTTTAAATTAAAGTGTGACAAAAATATGTTTAGAATCATGTGTTTCAAAGATTTCTGTAACAAGGGACAAGCTACTTAGTTCAGAAATTTTAAAGAGAAGCAGGTGTTTCCTGAACTTTTTGAAATATGTATATACTATTCGAGAACTAAATGACAAGTTTTGTTATCCTAGCTCTAATAAAATTGGAGTTATGATTAAAAAATTACATCACAAAATCGATTAATACCGATATGACGAAAATAGAATTACGTCCGACAAAAAAACTTGTTATAATTATGATAATAAATAATATAAATTCCAACTCTGTAGCTTCCGAAATCGACGGGGCTGACAGACGAACGAGCATATATATTCTTGGTCGCAATAAATCGATAAATAAGTTATCCATAAAAGAAATCTTAGATAATTTTATCAGGGTATTTCCAAATAGAGCACTCTTTTGTATACCCTGAACCCATTAAAAATGGGTATAAGGCTATATTGTATTTGTGCAAAACCCAAATGAATGTAACAGGCAGCAGGAAGCATCTCCGACCCCATAAAGTATATATATTCTTGATCAGCATCAATAGCCGAGTCGATCTAGCCATGTCCGTCAGTCTGTCCGTCCGTCCGTCTGTATGTATGAACGCAAGGATCTCAGAACCTATAAGAGCTAGAGACTTGAAATTTTACATGTTGATGCTCCTAGTTCCCGCTCAGTTCGAGTTTGTTTCCGATAATCGATAACTTACTCCGTTTCCAAGCAATCGATAAAAATCGATATCGATATCCTGTTTTTTGGGCAATTTTGGTAAATAATAAGAGCTAGAGTCACCAAAACTTGACATATAGCTTCTAAAAATGAATATATATATATGCATTTGATGTTGGAAGAAGAGGGTTCAGGGTATCCCCTAGTCGGGAGCTCCCGACTAGAACCTCTACCTTGTTTTTTATGGTTAATTTATATTTATTTAATTTTTAAAAAGCACCATTGATTTTTAAAATGTTTGCATCGGCAATGCTGGAAACAGTCATGAATATAGGGTAAAATACTTAGATGTGTGTATACTGTGACCAAAACTGCAAGCATATTCGATGAAGATTAGCATTGACATCCGCGGCATTGGGTGTGCATAAAGAAGACTCACCTCAGCACCCTTGATACAATTTCCTTGAACATTCCCTCTGTATTGCCGGCAGGCTTGTTTCTAGCGACAACAAAATGTCTCCCACGTGAGCCGCAATTGATTGTTAGCTATACATTTGGTAAATTTTGTGTTTTTATGCTCGTTCGCAATGTGAAGGAGAGAATCTTCGGCGCCGAGATCTACTACATGACATATCGGAAAACGTTCTTGGACTGCGAACTAGTAACTTGTTTATTATAACCTCGTAGCTTGGCCAACGCCTAAGGATTCGGTTGCCTTCCAAATTAGTTGCGTGAAGTGCCTGGTTGCGGGCGAATACTCGTCATTGTCAAAGTCGTAATCCTTTACTTCGTCGTACCACACAATTCCGCTTAGTCTGTTGTGTAGCATAGATTTTCCCCATATGTTCCATTTGCCGCTGAATGCTTAAATGCCTCTTCTTTGGCAAGCTTCTATATGGCAGTCAGCAATATTACACGAAGTGCCCAACATAACGGATACTTGCTTAACATACTTCTGCATATTTCTTACATTCTGTGAAAAAATCGTCATCCAGATAGAATATGGAAAAACCATGCTTTATTCTGAATATATTATGGGAGATCTGGACATCACTTTCGAAATCAGATTTAGTTGGAATACACTGAAAACAAGACTCTTATATTACTGCGGGGACTAGAAACCTAGTTTAAATAACCAATAACAACACCGCCGCTATACACAGCCCTAAAACATTTTCAGAATTCATTATTGTCTTTGTTTAACATTAAAATTTAGATATTAAAAAAGTACAAAAATAAGTTTTTAGCAACTTCAAGTGTTACTTTGTTCCTTACAAATTGCATTGAGTAAATGCACTGAGGAAGACATCTCCAACTTCCCAAAGTTTAAGGCCGATTGGGTCTCTGTCACTTTCCGCGCAAGCCAATTTCTTAGTTTGAAAAGCGTCTGCTCAGTTTAATTGAAACTATGCTTGAAAAACTTAAATTTTTTTTTATAAAAACGAGGTGGAACATTCCAAACCACACAAATGCACACACACATCACACGTCTTTAATGCTGCGTCTCTTTTTCTTTTCACAGCCTTATACTATATTTAACTAATTCTTAACTTAAGTTAGTGCTAAGACTCCCATCTTAATGAAACTTTGAGGGTTTGAGTATTGAATTCAAAAGTGAATGTATGCCAACTTGTCTGCCTCTCTTTTTCCCTCTCTCTCTATTTAAAATTGATGAAAAATTGTTGGAATATTAAACATACAAAATATTTTGAAGCCGTGTTTACTATACGAGAACTCAAATGCTTACTTTGCGGTATCCAGCTCTTTAAAACTGTAAGGTCTGCTCCAAAATATGATTTCGATTATTTCCATCGATATCATGAAAGTTGTCGATAATGCGAAATGAACTCAAGCTGTGCATTTCTTCAACATTTTGAACCTCCAGCTTATTTAATTTCCGACGGATAGACCGACTCGGCTGTTGGGGTTATCTTTACATCATTTTTAGAAAACATATAAAAAGTTATTGTTATTATTTTAAAGAAGTTTACTTTATTTAAATTTTCTTTATTAAGACAAATTACTGTTGAGTTGGGGGAATCAAGCTATTTATATACATAACTCTGCAGCTTTTCGACTAAAATAAATTTCTATTTTTTTCGATACCCATTAACATGCACAACTTTTATATAATGCGCCAATTCAATATGAGTTGCCTGTGGAAAAGCTAGACAGAGATTTGATCTAAAAACTAAACTAATTTCAATCGAATTGACGCAGCCCGAGTACAGAGATGCTGGCTAAATTTTTCGCGTACACTTCGTTTTTCCACAGCGTTTTCCACATGTGTCCCAGGCTGAGGCCTTGCCCAAAATGCCCGTCTGCCAAAACTTTGGACCGTGCACAAAGCCGCAGTCTGCGCAACAGCTAAGCTAACCAGCAGTTGCCACATACATGCGCTGTGCCCAAGAGGCAGCCGTGACCGACATTCGATAAATTGACCAATGCAACTTGTTATTTCTGTGTGCAACAGCACGTTTCATTTGCTGCCCAGTGTTGGGTAGGCTGTGGTGGAGTCGGCCAGGGTTGGGTAGGGGTACCTTTGAAAGTTTTCCGATTTTGCTAGTTTTTCTGCGATTCGACAGGCAACGTCTGTTTCACCTGTTTGCCTGTGTTGTAGTTGTTGCTGTTTTTTGTTTGCGTATTATTGCTCCTGGGTGGGAAATTGTGTTTATTCCTGTGCGTGTGTGTGTTTATATTGGTATGAGCAGGTGAGCGTAAATTTAGCGCTGACAATTGTGATTTCGGCGTGGTTATGGAAGTGTGTTGGGCATCAGATGTTTTAATTAGATTTTTATTTCATTCTCATTTGCAACTGTTATTCAGCTCATTCAGCATCCTTCTATCACGCGCATCAGCGAGTTAATGAACTTGTTGTTCATAAAACAATAATAAAACCTTTTTTTCCTAAAAATAAAATTGTAATCCCAGTGCTTTAATGTGCAAAAGAAATTAAAGAAATGAAAGTATGTGTCATGTAAATATGCATATACATTATAAAATACATATTTTCGTAATACCAAGTAAATATTATAATAAAAATTTGAGCTGGCATTAAACAAAATGATAAGCAAAAATAATTTTAATTCAATTTTTTTTACAAGGGTCGACCCAAACACCTCATAAAAATATTTATGTAATAAAGCAAATAATTCTTAAATAAACCGTAAGTCAATTAAATATTATGATTGAATAACATACAACCATATGTACAATTCAGGTACTGAATTCGGAAGCAAATAATAACAAGCAAATTGTTTTCATATTTCTGCCCAACTGATGGAAGTTTTTTAAAGTTTTTATATATTTAATGTTAAATAAACGTTTTTCAAACTTCATATTTTCTAAATAAATCAATCTAAAACAAACTATAATCAAAAAATTGTATTTGTTCGTCCGTGCAGGGTATCTCGTAGTCTGAGCAACTAGTTTGAATGCTCAGTAGCTTATTTTATTAATTAGCATTAAGCCTTAGCAGCATTTATTGCACTTCTCAAGTTCTTTTAGCTGTCTTTTTAAATTCGCATTAGACGTGTTTGTTTTCCACATTAGCCTCCATTATAAAGATGAATTGTTGCCAGTGCAACTGGGTCGGTAGCTGGAACTGGGACTGAAGCTGGAACTTTAAAAGGAAATGCAACTGGGTCTGGGTCTAAGCGTAACACACAGTGTCTACCTTACGTGGCTAGCGCATGCAATGCATTGCCCATGTTCTCCTGTTGCCCTCTGACGTCTGTCCCTTGTCTCCTCCTGTCTCGTGTGTGCATGTGTGTTTATGCTGGTTAGTTACGTCCGGGTTAAGTGCTCCTTAAGCGGTCCGTAAATGTCATTTATTGTCCATAGCACACACATCCTCATGATTGTTGGTGGCTGACGCAGCTGCTTCAACGGCCTGAGTGCTCTTCAATACATTGCACATAATCTAATCAAAACTAATGAGACGAGCAGCTTTAAACGGAGTGCAACAAGCGCTGAAAAAGGCTTGGAAAAATATAGTTTTACGGATCAATATGATCCGTCTTAAATGGAAAGAAATATGTGTGGATGAATTTAAGCGGAAATAATGTAGCAGAGTATTATTTAAATTTTTATTTCCAGCGATGAGTTTGCAGCGGAAGTCTAGAGGACCTATAATCAATTGAAGATTCCAGTATAAACCTTTCAGTGACAGACTTTAACCATTAAAAATAAACAGTCTGATTTACAGCGTCAGCAGACTTCCAGCGTTAGATTTCCAGTGGAAGGTTCCAGCGTAAACATAAAGCATATGTTTCCAGCGGAGGATTTCAGTGGAAATTGAAATTGAACACTTTACTGTTTAATTCTTCGATTAGGTTAACATGTTCAAGACCAAATTGTCAAAGAGCGGAAACATATCAACATATTTTCCAGCATATTCATTTTATTTTTTGTTTTTTTGATTTGAGGAACACAGTTGCGAGAACTGTCTATCGGGTTGGTCATCGCAAAGTAATGCGGCAGATGACCAGATACGTTGAGGCTAGGACAGCGCGAGGCTGTCAGTTGTTTGTGCTGGTACTGATTAATTGTAATGATTAAATGATTTGGTTTAGATATTTATTTTTGCCTCATTTTTAAAGTTAGCTCTCTTAAATATAGCTGTTCTTTTGTTTTTAATATGTCTTTAGTTGACTCAGCACGTGTTAAGATTTTGTATTTTCTTCTTAATCTACTAAATTTGTGACATTGAGCTTCTTAAGATAATTTTCCGCTGAGCCCATATTAACGTTGGTATATTTGCATGTTTTTTTAATCGAGTGAGCGCTGCTTGTTGATGTGTCACTCATTGAGCTGTCACTAATTTCTGTAGAAGAGATGTAATTTGTTGTTGTTATTTCTCTATTTGTATTCTCTTTGGAATTTGTTTTGGAAGGTTTTGCTTCATTGTTGCACTGTACCGATTTATTTCCATTATTAATAATTTTTGCTGATATGGCTGATTTCTTGAGCTCAGGGGCTAGTCCTTCCAGGCCAAAGATGTCAAAATTATTCGCATATCTTTTTGTGGCTTACGCCAGTGGGGTGGCGCCCGCCATGTTAACTCCTCTTCTTTTAGCACTTTTTAGTCTAGGACTTACCACAGTTGCAGAAATTGAGGCTGGGCAGTTTTGTTTATTTGCTTGGGATAATTTATATATATTTTTAAAGCATACTAGCTGGCTAGACTTCCGTTCAGTCCGGTTGACAAGGGCTGTCTGTGTATTCATTTTAAATCAGAAAATTTTCTGTATACACATACTATTTGTGTGCTTTTCGTATTTTACACCAATTCCAGCATTTAACTTATTTAAACGAGCCAATGTCAGCAAAGTTGATCGAGGTGCAGCCAGTCTGCAAGGCCCCAGGTTTGCCAATCTGTGAGTTGGAGGAGACTAGTTGCAACGTAGAAGTTGTGGACAATTTGAGCATAGGGCAACCCGAACCTGGCAGGACTCTACTTTGTGACTGTGTATATAAGGTCAGTGAGGAGGAGGAGCCAAGTTTAGAACAGTCAACGACTGTCGATGAGGAGCTTCAGTTGGAGGACATCAAAGACGAGCTGGAAAATAATAGGGCGCTCGTTGATCTCATCGGCCAGAGGCTGTCGTTAAGCATACCCGATTGCCCCGAGCTGGATGCCTGCATGGACATTCAAGTGGAGCTGAACAAGGACGGCATGCACCCAGAAATTCTCAAGCTGCATCGCGACAACAGTCAGTTACGCCAACAGCTGAGCCAGCTGCAGCACAGCTGTAAGGCCGTCGATTTGTCGCTGAAGTATATGCACAATAGTCTCTGCCGAGACTTGGAGGCGGGCGCAGCAATGCAGCGCCGCCTAAACGAGCTGGACTCCTTCAAGCGCATAGCAGAGCGCGAACATGCGCTCTGCCGGCAGCGCTATCGTCATCTGGATCAGGACAAATTCGATTGGAACGATTGTTTCGCCTACATCAGCAAGCATTATATGGAGTTGCAGCCTTTGCTCAAGAAGTACGTGCGTCGAACTGAATATAAACAGCTCAGACACGATGCCAGCGAGTTGCTCAACCAAGCCAAATTGGAGGCCAAGGAATTGCACGACTATTTGGCCGAGAACATGAGCTTGCTGAGCCAGCGGGTGGACCATTCGCCGGGCTGTGGGCGCCTTGGCTCCGAATTCGCCACGGATCGTCGGATGGCCATGGAGATAGCCGCTTTTTTGCAACGCAACGAGCACCTCTTTAACAGAGCGACGCATTAAAATCCAAACTCTGTCCAAGATTGTTCAATTTGTCAGAGGCAATAAAGTTGGATGTGGCCAACGCCATAAGGCGACAACAGAGACGACCCCCGACTCTGCGCTCGACGGCAGTTCATTTGCATTTGATATCGGGGCAGGGAAACGCCTTGATTATGTTGTTGCTGGGTGTTCTTGACCATTTGGGGCGGTCGCATCAACGTGACGCCAGCTGCTCCAAATGGCGCCATTTTTTGCTGTTGTTTTGTGTGTGTTGTTCGGCTGTTGGAGCAAAATGTATTTAGCATAAAAATTTACGATAATGCTGGCAGCAACATTGGCAACAAGCTCAGCTGCTGCTTGCCCCAATAGACAAAAACAAGCATTTGGCGTCAAAAAGTACAACAATCGCATAGACAGAATGTGGGAAGCAGACAGCAAAAATCCGACCAGGCCTACATGTGGGCAGAGATGTGGGCGGCTGCTCCTACTGCTGCGGTTTGGTTGGGCAAATGTCATTGCTCTGTTAACGCAAAAAGTTAAATTAATATTTTTCACACTGTTGCAAAACCTCCCCCCCCCCCCCCCCCCCCCCCCAATTTAAATTGACGAATTTTGCGGTTTTAACCGCCGCGTCAAAGTCAACTGCTGTACACAGTTTTTTCCCCTCTGCCAGTTTTTCCCACCCTATTTTCATATCTGACATTACGTATTTCATGCTGCTTGTTGCTGGATTTTTAAAGCAGATTAGCAAAGTTTTCTGCAGTCATTTATTTAAACTTTCCTTTGACGGCACCGCAAAAGCCACTAACAGGTCGGTGTTGGGTGTGGATTTTGTAACTAAAATTTGATATCAAGATAATCGTATTGCCATGTCGCATAGGTCGTTGACTGCACGAGCAACGTTTGAACTTTTTATGGATGAACTTCAAATACTTTGAAAGGAAAAAAATATATACTGATTCTAGCCGGATATCTTATGCTTTAAAAGCAAAGCACACATAACTTGCTGCAAAAACTATAAATATACTAAGAAAAAAATAAATCACTGAAGAAGCTTTTTAATTGATAAAACTTGAAAATTTTTTGCCATTAAAAGTCAAGGCTAAGCTGTAGAAACTTTTCACATGCCAAAGAAAACGCAAAACTAAAGCTTAGTTTAGAAAACTATGCGCTTGCTGTGAGGTAACTTTTTTTCCCTTGAAAAAGTCGACATATCAAGTTTTATAGCTGAAGAATTAAAGTACATAGGCGTGTCTATTTGACTTCACTTCATAAGTAAACAAGCCAGCAAATTGTCTTTTATAATTTGAAAGTATTTTTGAAGATGAGTTAGAAGGGCTTAAGCTAGACAGCCCTGAAGCCTTCTGGTAGTTTTAAGAAGCTATGCTTGCCTAGTTACCTGTATTCCAAACGCACGTTTGAACTTCTAGTGTGTCGCTGGCTTATCAGTATTTATTTTATTTTAATTATTGCTAATATAGAATATAGCTATAAATAAGCAAAAGTGGACAGCACTGAGACTTGGTACCAGTGCGGGTTTCTTTTAAATATCTTATTTAGTTCAAAGAGGTATTTGTTTTATTATCTTTTGAAAAAGGGCAAACAGTTACTTTAAAATTAGAAAATGGGTCTGATGAGAGGGGCTTAAGTAATATCTTACTAGCATTATTATAGGCTAAGTTAAATACTTTTATTACATTATCCCCGAAAATTACAGCATTTTATTGCTGGATGCCTAAAAAGTGGCAAATGGATTGCTTAACAGATTATTTTATTTCCTTATGCATTATTATTTACAAAATATTATTTCTTATATTTATTATTACATATGTCTAGACACTCCTTAATTCTCTCTATAACATTCCTGGCAGTTTTTGCTGCCTTTTACAGAAAAGAAGGTATGTATTATAAGTGCAGTGTAGTCGAATAAATGTGTATTTGTGCCTTTCAATTTAGTTTACTTGTGCATATGCGCATGAATGTGTTGTGTGTGGTAAGTGTACTGCGTGTATTGTGTGGGCGGGGTGCAGTGCGGATTACCTATCTAGTGCAGCATAACATAGCACAACTTGTGTACGGGAACAGTCCGCCGTAAGTGTTGCCTGGCTGAGGGAGATGTGATAAAAATAAATATACAAATAAATGCAAGAGAGAGAGTATGCATTCTGGTATTTTATTTTGTTAATACTCACACACACGCATTCACACACACATACACACACAAACACACACACTCGCTTGAGCCTAGACCTAGTTCGGGCCCACGCTCGTCTTCCATGCATGCCTGCTTATCCTGTGCGTGTGTGTGTGGCCTAGGGGGCATCTTTGTCATTCAATTCAGAGCCGGTGGCTGCAGTCGGCCAACGCGACATGTGTGAGCTACGCCCCCCACCTGCCACCTTCCCATTTGCCCCTTGCCCCCTGCCCCTTGCCACGCAAGTCGCGCTCTGCAAATGCGTCTATAAATTATTCATTTCGTTTCAGATGTTTGATGTGGCAATGCCTGAGACTTCTCTAAGCATGCCCAACACATCCTGCCCCGGCTGTTGCAATCCTGCTCATCTTCTTGTTGCTCAAGACTTCAGCTGGCTGCGAGTTGGGTGCAAACGGGCACTTTTACCCGCATTTCATTGAATTCATTCATTTTTTTAGCAGCTTCTGCCAGCAACGATTTTCTCTCTCTTTTTTTTCCAGCAGTTTTTCCTGCTGTTGTTGTTGCTGTTGCTGTTTGCCACAGCTTTGCATAAATAAGATAAACACAAGTATGCGCACATACCATGCGGAGCTGAGAGGCTATCCCTCGCCAGCCGCACCTACCCTCTGTGCCCTCTAAGACTGAAGCATCTTGCAAGTTGGACTCGACTGATGTGATTTATTTTGCACTTACTGTTTGCCAAAGTAAAATTGATTGAAGCGTTTGTTGGCGCACCAATTGATTTTCACTACGGCATTTGCTCGCACTTTCATCCCAAGTTTCTCAACATTCCTCCCCACAAACAAGCTTCGCCGTGCTCGTTCTGTTTACATTTGTTAAATTAACTTTGGTCAATTTGGTTTTTGTCCGACTGGCCGAACATTGCATTGAGCCAGTTTTTGCACCCTTTTACGCTGCTAAATCCCCAATTCCAGCCATCGTCCAAGAATATGTAAAGAATGCAATGGAATAATTGCTTGGTTTGTAGGGCAGCATTTTGGGCTTGTTGTGGCTTGTTAAAAAAGGCTGGATTTAAAGCTCTGAAGTATATATATATATATATATATATATATATATATCTGCATTAATTTATTAATATTTAAAGCATGAGTCTAAAACGTGTCATATTTCGCTCGATATCAGAAAGGAATTTATATATATACTAGATACATACATTTATGCTAAAAGGATGATTTATTTCTGTAATCTATTTTTATATCCTGAGCCCCTTAAAAATGGGTATAAGGGTATATTGTATTTGTGCGAAATCAAAATGTATGTAACAGGCAGAAGAAAGCATCTCCGACCCCATAAAGTATATATATTCTTGATCAGCATCAATAGCCGAGTCGATCCATGTCCGTTTGCCTGTCCGTCCGTCCGTCCGTATGTATGAGCAAGGATCTTAGAACCTATAAGAGCTAGAGACTTGAAATTTTAGATGCAGATGCTCCTAGTTCCCGTGCAGATCGAGTTTGTTTCCGATAACCGATAACATACCTCGTTTCCAAGCAATCGATATCGGTATCGATATCCTGTTTTTTGGGCAATTTTGGTAAATAATAAGAGCTAGAGTCACCAAACTTGACATATAGCTTCTAAAATAGAATATATATATGCATTTGATGTTGGAAGAAGAGGGTTCAGGGTATCCCCTAGTCGGGAGCTCCCGACTAGAATCTCTTACTTGTTGTATTTATTATAGATGTTAGTAGTGAAAAAAAGACCAACCCAGAAAAAATTGGGATGCATGAAAATTTTTATTTTGGGACTTCGATCAGTCTTTTCGGAATCGAAAGGGTTTGGGGTTCTTTGTTTCAATTCCGATAAAACCTAGCCGCTTTCAAGTATTTAAGCTTTGAGTAAGCTGCATGAGAAGTAATTTACACAATTTACAAAAATATATGTTCCTTTTAGCAAAATTATTTGTATTTAGTTGTTCTTTCTATGTGCAGTTTTCAGTAATGTATTTATTTCAATGAGTAATGCTTTTTACAAAATTATCTCCCTAGACTAAAAACCGAAACCAGACAATAAAACGCCAGGTCAGTCACTTGATCTCAATTGGGGCTAGAATCATGCGAAACTAAACAAAAACCGTTGGCACTGGCATGTGAAAAAATATTTTTTATGTAAAAACAGTGCTAGAGGCTACAAAATGTTTCCGAGTAGCAATTAAAACCATTCTCTGTTGGGATCAAGAACATTTAACAGATTACGAGTCAAAATTGAATTCATTCGAATCGAACCTAATTTCTTTGGTAATCGAAGCTTTAGGTATTTTTATAATCTGGAGATGCAGAAAATATTTCTTACATAATTTACTTAAATTGCCTTTTATTAATTTATTCCTATGAAAAGTTGATAAATTAGAAAATACAGATAAATTATAAAAACTCTTATTATGTATAAGTTTCCAATAAAAGAGTCTTAGGCTCTGCTAACTGTCAGTTATCCATTTTCGATACGATTTAGAAACCCAACCAAACAAAACACTGGCAATTAACACTTGATTAGCCGATTTATTACAAAATTGGACAGTTAAGTAAGATGTATGTCTGTGTGTGTGTTTGTTTTTTTATATTCTGCCAATTGGTCTGGGTGGGGTGTTGGGTTTAATTGCTGTCGAGCGCTTGTTAAATGCTTTGCACTTAAAAGCGTTGCCGTCAGTTGCAAAAATGGCAACAATTCATCACATGTCGTGCAGGCTGTGATTTTATTAAGTGACGCTGATGGTGATTGAAGCACAGCTGGCATATCAACACCTGACACAGGTGCACAGGTACAGTTTCAGACGAAACGAGAGCCGGAACAGCCAGCAGTCCGCCGGCACGGGCTGCATGCCGCATAAATCTTGGCTGTCAACTGCAGAGCATCCCAAATAGAAGAAAGAAGAGCAAAACGTCAAGTAAAAAAAAGAAGAGGAAGCAAGAAATTGCTGCCAAGCATAGATGAAACAAATTTCGACATAATAATTATGCAGCATTTATAAAATTAGAGTCTCCACGCACACGTTGTAAGAAGAAGCAGCGACACGCAACTGCAATGCCATTCCATTTTATGAATGGGCATTTATCATAATTAAAAATTCTGCCTTTTGCCGGCAAGCAGCGACTGCCGCAGTCGCAGCCACGACGTTTCTGACCTAAGACATGCCACAACGAGTGCGTCACGAGGACGATGACGACGACGACGACGTCGACATCGACGACGACAAGGACGAGGACGTGGCTGACTGGCGTGTATGAACGTTTAGGCCCATTGCTCCATTGGCTTCATTTCAACAGCTCAACAGCTGTTTGGCTTGGGACATTATTTTGGGACTCTGGCATGCAAATGAGCAGCAGCTAACTGTGGCATTGGAAGCATGCCACACACTATAACAGACACTCACACACATACCAGCTCTCACTCTCTTAGGCAGCCTGTTGGTGTGTTGCCGTCAGAGCGCATGTGTCGCGTCCCAAAAGCCTCAATAACACACCCAAAATGCCAGCGCGCTCTTAAGTATGCAACACTTTTTGCCATAAAACCTGCTCTCGCTGTGTCCGACTGCTTAGCTCTCGGCTGTGCGACTCGGTTCGGCTGTGTGGCAGTTACTTCGGCTGAGGTTGCGGCTGTGACAGCGGCTCGTTAATGACACGTCGCCACTTCGAATGCCGTTGTCGTTGGCTTCAGTTGTGCTCGCAGCTTGCCGCGTGTTCTCGTCCTCTTTGTGTTTTCACTGTCTTTTGTCGTCTTTGCCGTCGCCTGAGTCAGCGTGGCGTATGCTCAATTTGATCAGTGATTAAGATGCTGCATTTGCCGCTAATCGAGTGAGTGCGCCGTCGAGTCAATGCCAAAAATATTAAGTGCCATATGAATACACACAAAGGTGACGCCTAAAGGGCTGGCGGGTTGACGGGCTGACGGTTTGAAGTTGGACGGGTTGACAGGCAACGGTTGGCGCCTCAAGCGTATGTTTGGCAATCGCAAGTTTTTTCCGCGCCAAGTGAATTTCAACAATAACAACAACAACAAAAACTCATCCAAGCTGTAATCAGTTTTGTCTTGCTGTGTGTGCGTATGTGTGAGCATGCGTAGCTCGCACGCATGTGTGCGTATGTCAGCGTGTGTAATCCAAGAAAATCTGTCACGTGCTTCGTATATCTCTTTGTGCAACTCCACACGCAACGTACTTATTGAATAAAATAAAAGGTGAGCAGCAGCAGTAGTAGCAGCGGCAGCGGCGACAACTCGGATTACTAGGCGTATGAGTTATATGTGAAACAAGCACACATTAAATATGCAGCTTATACGAGCGTGACATGTTAATAAAGTAGACACATTTTTACTTTTACACTTTTATTTATTTATTTTCACTTTATTAGTGTTGGAACTCAGTAATTGAATAGTTCCATATATGAAATATTGAATAGGTGAATTTCAGATTTAAATATTAAGAACGCCAGGCTTAAAACAATTACCAGTCTAAGGCCCAGGTTCGGGCAACTCGGGAGTATTCGCGTGTGGATACATATTTGCTCATTAGAGCTAGCAAACATATTGCTAAGGGGTTTTTAATGACATACTAATTATGGTCATATAAACATGTTGATAAAAAAACCACACACACGCTTATGTTAATTCTATCAATTAAAGTTGTGCTTTGTGTAGATATCATAAATGTATTGTCACATAGTATAAATGTACTTGACGACATAAGTAATAAAAAAAACCATTTGACGTTTTTGTGGACGAACATATTTTAAAATTTTTTTATATTTTAATTATTTTATTTATTGATCATTTAAATCTTAAAATATAATTGTATTGATAATGGAAAAATATATATATAAATAATAGAAACCATAGAAACATAGAAACCTTTTAGTTATACAATGAAACCTCTCTTGGGCTGTCCGCGGCCGTCGAGTTATTTTCATCCGTTGAGGTGTGTGCTATATTAGTATGGCCTGATTATTTATGGCTTGAAGAAAATCCTCGCACAATACGTTAGCAGAATTTGCATTATCATATCAATATAGAGTTTATATATTTATAGCCACATATTTTTGCTTAGAACATGCACAATTTAAATATTATCTTCCGCTTAATTTAACCATACTAATAAAATTTGAAAGATACGTTCGCTTAACCTTTCCTTAAATTCGAGACTTTGAGCCACATATTCTTAACGACTGGTTGATTGCTCGACCTTTGCACAGGGCCTCACATTAACAGCGTTTACTTTCATTTTCCTGAGTTTGCCCCGAAATTAAATGACAAAATTTGATTATATTTATGCACGCAAGAAACGTATTTATAATGCCCCGCTGCCCCCAAGCCCAGCCAACAAAATACCCGAAGACCCAAGAGCATAAAAACTAAACGCAACTGGCAACTGGGAACAGGTGCTTCCACACTGGCAAGTTGAAAACTTTTTCTCCCAATTGTTTATTTAATAGCTATAAAAAAATCATTAGGCATTTTTATCACACAGCTTCAAAGCTGAAATTTACATGAACAATGCCTAAAGTACTTTTTTAACTAAGAAAAAGAAAGAAAATAAACTAAACTTAAAAAAAAATAAAATATGATTTTGAATGCAAAATGAATTGACAAGCCCAAGTGTCCGTTTGCCTTATGCCTTTACCTTATTATGATTTTATATGTATCGTCTTTTGCCTGCCAGCCAAGTTAATGCAATTTATGTTCGCACACTTTTAAATTGGCCATGTTTTATGGTTTGTCGCGTCCCCAGTTCGACAATACTTCAAGTTCATTGTGCATGAATAATGTAGTTGTTGTTATTAATGCTGTTGCTGTCAGGCAACACACACACAGTCCCTGGCTGGCCTTTTTATGCCATATAATTTGATTGAGTTTTTGTTTGACACAGTCTGTCGTCAACTTTTGTACTAGTGCTCAACTATTCGTTAGCTGTTGGCCAACAGCATGGGAATTGCGGCTATAAGTGTGTCACTTGCATCGCTGAACTTTTTATTTTATTTCATTTTATTTTATGTTTTTTATTCAGTTTCTCTCCTGGCACATGAGTTGATAATGAATGTGTTCGAGTACCCGCTCACACAATGTCGACCACAATGCGCCATTTTATTGGTTAAAACAATTGTGCTTGATTCAATTAATTGTTGTGCTGCCGCATAAAATAGCTAATTTTCTTCTATTTAAACATACTATATCACTCGCCAGAGCGTGTCACTTACAGACGTGTTCATTTTTACCAGCTGACGTTTTAATACAAACATAAAATATATATGTATTTATAAACTATTTTTTTCGCGGAATATGCAAAGTAATAATTTAATAAAGCAATATGAACAAATTTATATTCAATATTAAAGACACTTTAATTTGATCTTAGCATGAATTAGATGTTGAGCTTAAAATCCAAGCAGCACAGTAAAACTGAATAATTAAGGAGATTTTGAAATCAAATGGATTAAAAATGACCAAAAACCCTTCAAATAAAAGATTCCATTTAAAGGGCATTAGAATTTAAGCGAATAAATCCATCGAATTTTAAGTCTGTGCTCTGCTGCTACACGGAGACAATGCCGTATTCATTGTAATCGGATGAATTTCAAGTCTACTTTTTAAAAGCTGTACATCATTTGCACACTTGTCTAGAACTTGGAACAATGCAATGACAGACAAACGGCCAACAAATTTCATGAAAAATGATGCTCAATAGCATTTTTCATTATTTACACAGTTTTTTGTTTGTTTTTTACGGCTTCCAGCTCATTCCATTCGACGCTTGCTCTAGTCTATCTTTTAAGACTCCTTTTTGTGATTTTGAACTACAATTCCAGTTTACCATGTGCAAAACGCAGCATTCATAGCAGGAGCGGGAGCATCCGCTGCTGCGCACTTGGAAATTTCAGAATAATGAGGAAACTAACGAGCCAAGACTTTTCCATTGTTTACTGGCGCACAAATTGCGCGATTATTAATTTTCCATGCTATTTTGTAGCACTACTCTATATATATATATATTTTTTTTTTCCGTGCCGTCTACTGCAGCAGCACATTTTGTGCCGCTGTGCGGCTCCTTTGCCAGTGGCTGCCGCCTGCCAGACGCTGTCGACACTTCCTCGTATTATCGCTGCAGCCGCCGCTGTCGTCGTTTGGCCGCGTTTTCTGGCTCTATTTATGCTGCCTTTGGCAGCAAGATTTTTAATATTTTGCAATATTTGCCACGTTTTCTTTCTGCCTGCTGCGTCCTTCCGCCTGGAGAGCACTGAGCTAGGACGCGAATGTTGCCAGGCGCTCGACAACAGCTGTGAAGTTGGTTTTTCGTTTCTTTACCCTTGCAGATGGTGTTAAAATTCTTTCATGAAGTGTGTTGTACATAGCAGAAGTCCCCTCAGATCCCTTAAGCTATATATTTTTAATTAGTATCAACAACCGAGTGGATATACCCACGTCCCTCCGTCGATATAACTTGAACAAACTCAGCTTAAACCCGCTTCGCAATTCTTCTCTCACATCTGCATAAGCGAAAGCCACATCACTAAGGGTATTTAATCTTCGGCGTGCCAAATTCAACCGTTATTTCTTGTATTTCTTGTGTTCTTTGTAATGCGGAGTTCATTGCTTGCCCGGCAAAGAAGGCTCCACATGCAGGCTATACAGGATGTACTTATTTATTCTCTCTCACACACACACACACACATACATGCGTGTGTGTTTTACTTACTGCCTTCACTTTAACTGACACATTTTTGCGTTGTTTCACAAAGTCTTAAAGTTCTTTGTGCTTTTTTGCAGTCATCAATTAATAAAAACGTTGCTTCCGCTTATATATCATGTCTTTGAGGGCAAAGTGGAAATTCAAGAAAATTAAGATACAAAAATAAAAGTAAAACTTTCCAAGCCGCAGATAATAAAAATTGTTGCAATGGAAAAAGCCCTGTAGAAGAATATTTAAAATATTATATGTTCTGCAATATATAAAATTATTTATCTAAATAAAATGTAATGTTTCGATTAAGAGAGATTATTATCGATAAATAATAAATGCAACTAAATGCATAAGGAGAAATAAAGCAGTTTATTAAATCATATTAGGGATTTTAACTTGAGCTCGACAAAAGCACTGATTATCGATAAAACCGATTCGTATATTTTTTAAATTAAGAATTCTTATATTGTGAGCTCTAGAGAAGACAAAAATTATTTTATATTGAGTTATTAATGATGTCCTGTGCTTCAGAGAGTTTATTTATTGATCCAGAGGTATTATTAATCGATGTAATAGTTTTGTCTATTTTTATACCCTGAACCTATTAAAAATGGGTATAAAGGTATATTGTATTTGTGCGAAAGCCAAATGTATGTAACAGGCAGAAGGAAGCATCTCCGACCCCATAAAGTATATATATTCTTGATCAGCATCAATAGCTGAGTCGATCTAGCCATGTCCGTCTGTCTGTCCGTCCGTCCGTCCGTCCGTCCGTCAGTATGTATGAACGCAAGGATCTCAGAACCTATAAGAGCTAGAGACTTGAAATATTAGATGTAGATGCTCCTAGCTCCCGCGCAGATCGAGTTTGTTTCCGATAATCGATAACTTACTCCGTTTCCGAGCAATCAATAAAAATCTATATCGATATCCTGTTTTTTTTGTCAATTTTGGTAAATAATAAGAGCTAGAGTCACCAAACTTGACATATAGCTTCTAAAATAGAATATATATATATGCATTTGATGTTGGAAGAAGAGGGTTCAGGGTATCCCCTAGTCGGGAGCTCCCGAGTAGAACCTCTTACTTGTTTGTTTATATCGACTTAAAAGCTTTGCTTGCCGACATTATGAATTAATCCTATATTAAATAAAGAATCTTGAGGTCTAGAAACATTGCATATCGATAGTATGAATTGTGCTGCATTTTGATAATAAGAAAAACCTGCAAATATTTGTTAAATTATGAAAAAGCCGAATCAATCCAAAAATAGGTCATGCAAGCAAATAAGTTTACAAAAAATTGAACACAAACAAAAATATACCTCTTTGCAAGCAATACAAAACATCTATAAGCTTTTTATTGGCTGTGGCAATTAATTAAGCCATTCGAGTTGTGTATTCCATATCCATTCCCATAACTCGCATAAATTGTGAATTTTGTTAGAAGGGCGGCGGGCACTAGGCGGGGGCATTATAAAAATGTTTTATAACAACAGCTTTTTATA